CAAAAAACTATCACCTAAGTCATTTGTCTTTCTCTAAAAGAAAATGGACTATAAAAAACAAAAATGCGGCCCAGAGGAATTTAAGAAATTCACTGTTAATGCAAGCAAAAGAAAACATAATTTGTATTTGTTTCTATTATAAGCTGCCCAAATTCTGTCTTATTCATTATACTAATATTTTATTCTATCTTCTTGTTTTCTATTTTTAAAAAGGCTAATAGAGTCATAAAAGGTCAATATTGATAGGAACCTCAAAGAACTCTTGGTCTCAGCCCCTACTTCTATAGATGAAAAATGAAATTCAGAGAGAAGTAGGGACTATCCCAAAGTGCACTCAGCCTGAGAATGGCAAAGCAAGGGATAAAATTCAAGTCTCTTGAATCTCTGTCCAAGGTTCTTTTCATGTTATCATGCTCATGGAGAGAGAACATGACGCAGCATGAATGATAATTTTAGATTTATTTCACAGATGGTAACCTCAAATGGCAATCATTCAGTTACACAGCTACAATAGTAACATTATTTTACCCATTAGTGAAGTCAGTATAGCTCCAGTGCAAGAAGCGAGCATTTGCTGAAGAGGTGTCACTTTGATAATCTGTGGCCCCTCTGATTCAGGATCCATATTTTTAACTGACTGAAGAAAAATCTGTTAAGGAAAAGATGTAAAATAAAAGTTTAATGAAAATGCCCTTAAGTTTGATTGCTATAAATTAAATAAACTATAAAAACAACAACCAGTATTAGTATCGAAGCACATTGTTGACCAGTATCAAAAATAAATACTTAAGTTCTATACAAAGGCAATACACAACTATCATTAATAAAATATGTACTCTGATTTTCCAAAAACAACAATGCACTTCAGCTGTGTGAGCAGCAACATATTTGTAAGACAGGTAAGAGAGCAAAAAGAAAACAGACTCTGGCCATGTAAGAGAATGAAGGCACCTGACCAGTAAGTCTCAGAATTTGTGCATTTAGCCTCAGGAGAACTACTCAGATACTCTAATGGACAGTTAGCAAATATATCACTATTTGTACTGCATACCAAAAGCTGATACAAAGGTATAAAATAAAAACATATAATCTTCAAAAGAAGCATTATCTTAGAAAAATTTGATGAGAAAATATATACTCCTTTGTAAAAAGCCAGTTACTATAACCACTAGCAATATAAGGGTGTCATCTTTTCAAACGTCTATGTACACACAAATATATGTGTGTGTCCATATGTATATAATATATACAGACACACATGTACATGCAGATTACATAACTGATCAAGTATGTACAAATATTCATAGATCTGTGTACATGCATCTTTTTAAAAAATCTTGTTTAAAGGGGTGCCTGGGTGGCTCAGTCGTTAAGCGTCTGCCTTCGGCTCAGGTCATGCTCCCAGGGTCCTGGGATCGAGCCCCACATCGGGCTCCCTGCTCAGCGGGAAGCCTGCTTCTCCCTCTCCTACTCTCCCTGCTTGTGTTCCCTCTCTCGCTGTGTCTCTGTCAAATAAATAAAATCTTTAAAAAAAAAAAATCTTGTTTAAAAATCATAAATAGGTTCTGATGCCTCGGTGGCTCAGTCAGTTAAGCATCTGACTCTTGGTTTCAGCTCAAGTCATGAGCCCAGGGGTCATGAGACCAAGCACCATGTCCGGCTCCATGCTCAGTGCAGAGTCTGCTTGAGATTTTCTGCTTTTCCCTCTCCCTCTGCCCCTCCCCCTACTTTCGCAAGCAAGGGCTCTCGCTCTCAAACAAAATCTTTAAAAAAATAAATATTCCTATTGTTTAGTAGCCAGAGTGGACACTTAAAAATATATTACAGACACTGTATCAATAAATATAGATGTACATTATCATTTTTAATACAGTTTTGATTATATTTAATCAGTCTCATATTGTTAGATATTTATGTTACTGTCAAATCTTCCTTATTCATTTATTCATATACTCTTATATAAGTATTTCCATATACACAACTTTTTGTAGTCTTCCTAGAATTACTATAGAAGAAAAAGTAAGATTGTGAGGCTCAACTAAAAACTTGAGACAAATTGCCAAAATGCTTTCCAGAAAGGATGGACCAATTTACACTTCCATTGTAAATAAATGAATTCCTATTAATCTAGAATTTCACCAAACTCTCTCTCATTACATACCACTTATTTTTTTATGAACAGTTTGAAAGTAGTTTGCATATAACACACGCTGTTATTATAATTACCTCAGAATATTCTTGTATTTCACAGTAACATTATCAAATTGAGGAAACTCAGTACTCTATAGTTTATATTCCAATTTTACCAATTATCCCAATAAGGAACTTTATAAAAATGAATGGTAGTTTTATTGTTTCTTTAGACTTTTATTATTACTCACCTGGTTTAAGTCTTTTCCTCAACTCTATGCTCCAGTATTTGATTGATTGTAACATCAGTAGCTGAAAATCTGTAGTGAAAAATGAAAGTAATTGTCTTATCTTTTCACACAAGATATGGAGAACCTAAAGGAAAGGAGCATGTAAAAAAACCTTGGGCGCCTGGGTGGCTCAGTCATTGGGCGTCTGACTTCGGCTCAGGTTATGATCCCAGGGTCCTCGGATTGAGCCCTGCATTGGGCTCCCTGCTCAGCGGGAAGCCTGCTTTCTCCCTCTCCCACTCCCCTTGCTTGGATTTCCTCTCTTGCTGTCTCTCTCTCTGTCAAATAAATAAATAAAATCTTTAAAAATAAAATAAAAAATTTAAAAACCTTAAAAGACAAGTCAACAAATATTTACTGAAATACCTCCTATTAAGTGCTTTAGGAATATGAAGAGCATTCCACAAATGCTCACATTACATTTATTAAACTTCATTTATAAAACTTCATTTAGTATAATAAACTTCAGGGCAGCTGGGTGGCTCAGTTAAGCGTCTGCCTTTGGCTCGTGATCCCAGGGTCTTGGGATCAAATCCGTCGGGCTCCTTCCCCAGAGGAGAGTCTGCTTCTCCCTCTCCTGCCCCTCCCCCTGCTCGTGCTTGCTCTCTCTCTCTCAAATAAATAGAATCTTAAAAAAAAAAAAAGTATAATAAACTTCATTTATTAAACTTCATTTATAAAACTCCACTCTGTCCCAGTAAATTTATTCTGCTTAAAAAACAAACAATTCTCAAGGTGCCTAGGTGGCTCAGTTAAGTGTCTGACTCCTTTATCTCAGCTCAGGTCTTGATCTCAGGGTCATGAGTTTAAGCCCGGTGTTGGGCTCCACACTGGGCATGGAGCCTACTTAAAAAAACAAAACAAAACAAAAAATTCTAGAAGCTGAACACTTTGATCAATCTTAGTATCATGAGTCAATTAGATTTTGAGACACAAAATTAAGTAACCAGCATTATCTATGAAGTATTTTTTTTTGGAAAAAAAAAACTTTAATTTTAATCTAAACAATCCATTAGATCTAAGTTCCAATTTATAGAAAATTAAGAGACTAAAGTAACAGGGTAAAGGATACCACAAAACAGGATAAGCTGTCATACGATATAAGACTACTGTCTTGGTTCTTCAACAACTACCATTAAGGTGGGAAAAAGGTAGCAGGAAGGGAGAAATGTTCTAGAAGAAGGGAATCTTCTGAGAGTTACCGACCAAATACATCCCGGTTCAAATAAATAAAATTTTAAAAGTCAGTTTGAGAGTACATAAATCTGAACATGGACTGGATATTAGATAATATTAAAAATTATTATTTTTTGGTGAGATAATGGTATTATAACAAAATCAGTTTAATACCAGTTATAATGGAAGTGTCTTTTTAAAGAGATTCATACTGTAAATATTAAGGGCTAAATTTCAGAATAGTTGTAGTTCACAATACTTCAGAAAAAATAAATATTCTAATGTTAACAATCTGCTAAATCTAGGTGGTAAGTATACCATAAATATTTTTACTGTTCTATTATTTTTCTGTATATGGAAAAATCTGAACAACAGGATTTTTAGTTTGTGAAACTTAGTAGAATCTTTAGGTCTAAGAAAATACTTCTAACATTCATTTATATGAACATGGTTAAGTGGGAAAATAATATACATATGCTAGAATATGGGTACACTCCTTCTCCAGAAGTAAAAAGTAAAAAGGCCTACAATGCTTTATTTTGACATCCATTCGAGCAAAGTTGTCACCTGGATATGCTCAAACCTGAACTAAAGCCAGAAAAACTGATACAAAAGCAAAAATGAACTCTTGGGACTTCAAGATAAAAACCTGAACAGTGAAGGAAACAGTCAACAAAACTAAAAGGCAGCCTGTGGAATGGAAGAAGATATTTGCAAATGACATAGGTGAAAAAGGGTTAGTATCCAAAATCTATAAAGAACTTATCAAACTCAACACCCCCCAAAACCCAAATAATCCAGTTAAGATATGGGCAGAAGACATGAATAGATACTTTCCCAGAGTAGACATCCTGATGGCCAACAGACACGTGAAAAGATCTGTAACTTCACTCATCATCAGGGAAATACAAATCAAAACCACAATAAGATACCACCTCACACCTGTCAGAATGGCTAAAACTAGTAACACAGGGAACAACAGGTATTAGCACGTATGTGGAGAAAGGGGAACCCTCCTACACTGTTGGTGGGAATGCAAGCTGGTGCAGCCACTCTGGAAAACAGTATGGAGGTTCCTCAAAAAGTTGAAAATAGAACTACCCTATGATCTAGCAATTGCACTAATAGGTATTTACCCGAAGGATACAAAAATACTGATTTGAAGGGGCACATGCACCCTCATATTTATAGCAGCATTATCAACAATAGCCAAATAATGGAAAGCCCAAATGTCCATTGACTGATGAATGGATAAAGGAGATGTGAGGGATATATATATATACACACACACATATACACACACACACATATATATGCACACACATATATGTACACACACCCACACACAATAGAATATTAGTCATCAAAAAAATGAAATCTTGCCATTTGCAATGATGTGGATGAAACTAGAGTGTATTATGCTAAGCAAAATAAATCAGAGAAAGACAAATACCATGTGATGTCACTCATGTGGAATTTAAGAAACAAAACAGATGAACATAAGAAAAGGAAAAAAAAAGAGAGGGAAGTAAACCATAAGAGACTCTTAACTATAGAGAACAAACTGAGGGTTGATGGAGGGGAAATGGGCTGGCAATGGGCTAAATGGATGATGGGTATTAAGGAGGGCACTTGTGTTGAGAACTGGGTGTTATATATAAGTGATGAATCACTAAATTCTACTCCTGAAACCAGTTATCACACTATGTTAACTAACTAGAATTTAAATAAAAATTGAAAAACAAAGGATTAGGGGAATATCCAAGTCAGAAGATAGTAAATCACACACACTTCGTATCAGAATTTTTAGTTTTTTTCAAATTTATGTTAAATGCAATCTCATAGTCTTGATTTACCTTCCCCTGCTCAGTAAATGATGCTGAGCATCTCTTCACCTGGCAACCACCATTCTACCTTCTCAAGAATTTTACTACTTTAGATACTTATATAAGTGGAAATGTGCAGTATTTCTGTTTCTGTGACTGACTCATTTTACCCAGCATAATACTCTAAAAGTTTAAATATGTATTATATGACAGGATTTCCTTCATTTAAAAGGCTAAATAGGGGCACCTGGGTGGCTCAGTGGGTTACACATCTGACTCTTGGTTTCAGCTCAGGTCATGATCCCAGGGTCATGGAATCAAGCCTCGCATTGGGCTCCATGCTCAGTGTGGAGTCTACTTGAGATTCTCTCTCCCTCTGCCCCTCCCCCTGCTCATGCATCCCTCTCTCTCTCTCTAAAATAAATAAAAACTTTTTAAAAAAGGCTAGGGGTGCTCAGGTGGTTTAGTCGGTTAAGCATCTGCCTTTGGCTCCGGTCATGATCTCAGGGTCCTATGATAGAGCCCTGCATCTGGCTTCCTGCTCCACAGGGAGTCTGCTTCTCCCTTCCTCTTTGCTCCTCCCCCTGGCTTGTGTGCACGTGCTCTCTCTCAAATGAATAAAATATTTTTTCTTTAAGATTTTATTTATTTATTTGACAGAGAGAGACAGCGAGAGAGGGAACACAAGCAGGGGGAGCTGGAGAGGGAGAAGCAGGCTCCCCGCTGAGCAGGGAACCCGATGTGGGACTCGATCCCACGACGCTGGGATCATGACCTTGAAGGCAGACACTTAACGACTGAGCCACCCAGCGCCCTCATATGAATAAAATATTTTTAAAAAAATTTTTTAAAGGCTAAATAATACTCTATTATATGTATATACAACATTTTCATTATCACTTCACCTATTGATGGGCAAAAAATTTAGACTGTTTCCACCTCTTGAACTGTGTATAATTCAATGAACATGGGATTTCAAGTATCTTGAGATTCTGATTTCAATAATTTTAGATAAATATCCAGAAGTGGGATTGTTAAATCATATGGTTGCTCTATTTTAAATTTTTTGAAGAACCAAAACCATTTTCCATAGCAGCTATGCCATTTTACCAACAATGCACAGGGTTCTGACTTTCCACGTCTCCATCAGCACTTATTTTCTGCTTTTGTCTTTAATAATCGCCATCATAAAAAGTATGAAGTGACATCCTGTGACTTTGATTTCATTTGCCTGGTAATTAGTGATGCTCAGTGTCTTCATATTCCTGTTGGTCATTTGTATGTTTTCTTTGGAAAAATGTCTATTAATGTCCTTTATCCATTTTTTATTCTAGTTATTTGTTTCTTACTGAGTTGTAGGAGTTCGTTATGTATTTTGGATACTAATCTCATATCAGATGTATGGTTTGTAAATATTTTCTCCCATTCCAGAGACTATCTTTTCACTCTTGATTTTGTCTGTAGCTGTATAGAAGCTTTTTAGTTTGATGTAGTCAAAACTGCCTTTTGCAGTTTTGCAAAAGTTTGACAGTAATGTCAGTGCTTTTGGTGTTATATACATGAAATCATTGCCAACATTAATGTTATGAAGTTCTTATTTTTTCACCTAGGAGTTCTATAATTTTAGGTCTTACAGTGAAGCCATTAATCCACTCGGAATTGATTTTTGTGTGTGGTGTGAGAGAAGGGTCAAAATTCTTGTTAACGTAGTGAAGTTTATCTGTCTTTCCCTTTATAGACAACACCTTTCGGATTCTTCTTTAAGCAATCTTTCTTTACCCAAGAGTCCAGAAGATACCTGCCTACATTCTCTCCCTATGTATTTTAAAGTTGTGCTCCTGACAAATCTTAAATCCTTAATTTATGCAGAATTTTTAAAATAGCATGTGAAATAGGGAACCAAGTTCATTTTTTCCCATGTGAAAACAAATACTTTCTCCAAGCTCCAATTTTTTAGAAAGATTTTATTTATTTAGTTGGGGGGGGGGGTTGTCTGCTGGGGGAGGGGCAGAGGGAGAAGCTGACTCC